TCCCCGGCTTCCTTTTCGGGTAGTGTGCTAATATGCAAATCCAATTTATTGCACTGCCCTCCCCAAACTCTACATTTTCTATCCTGCACTGAGAACAAATTTAATCATATTAAAGCTTGTTAGTTCGAATTAGTTATTATATGTAAGGAACTTTGTTTAAACAGTCATAATATTATTATTAATATAACGTTAAGACAAATTAACAGGACATGCTAATAGATGATAATGATATTGATATACCAAAAACTTAAAGATAGTATTAAATTATTTAAACATTAAAAAAAATGAAGTTTCAAGAAGTTTGTAGAATAAAAGTTGACTTCTACAGATATGTTCTAATAGGTGAGTAAATTTTGTAAATATTTTTTCCTCAGTGCTCCCATTCTGGTTGTCCTTTGGCCGGGCGTGAGTTATACGAATCCTTTTTATCTCGACTGTCGCCTGGCGTGCGTTGGGCGCATAAATCTTGTATAAGTTCGCTCCTTGGCAAGGAGTCAATATGCTAAATCAGCAGAATCCTTTTCTCCCCTGCAAGGATTCAGCGGGAAGGATGTTTGGACAGCTGCTAAGACATTTCAATAAAGCTGGAAGCCGGTATATGCTGGTACATACGAAGGCGACAATGCTTATGCTTCTTGGCTGGATGCTCCTCTCGCATTCTCCCGACCGATGTTTGTTGAATTTTAATCATTTGCGTGATGCAGCCTCAAGTGGGGAATGCTACCTACCTACAACTCTATCGAGAGCGAGAGTGGGAGAAAGTGAATAAAGAATCTCAGAAAGGTGGGTGGACTATGTTTGAATTTAAACCCAAAACTGCATTTATAGATTCCCTAGGTGATTGGATCCCGATTCAGAAGTGATTGAATTCTTTAATAATCTACATACAAATACTTTTTTTAATCGAGGGTGCTATATTTAAGCCATTGGAACCCAAAACTGTAGTTCTAGATTCCATAACCTGGGTAATTTTAATACTATTTAGAAGTGGCATACCTCTATGAGTTTGTGGTTGAATTCTATAATAATCTGCATTAAAATACATCTTTAAAATGGTGGTCCCAATTTTAGTCCATTTTCATGTTCGATTTATCTGTAATTCGAATGGGTATCAAAATAGGTACCCAAAACTGCGCTTCGAAGGTCCATAGCTTGGGTAATTGGATCCCGATTTATAAGTGGGATACCTCTATAAGTTTGTGGTTGAATTCTCTAATAATCTGCATTAAAATATATCTTTAAAACGATGGTCCCAAATTTAGTCCATTTTCATGTTCGATTTTTATGTAATTCCAATGGGTATCCAAATAGGTACCCAAAACTGCGCTTCGAAAGTCCATAGCTTGGGTAATTGGATCCCGATTTATAAGTGGGATACCTCTATAAGTTTGTGGTTGAATTCTCTAATAATCTGCATTAAAATATATCTTTAAAACGATGGTCCCAAATTTAGTCCATTTTCATGTTCGATTTTTATGTAATTCCAATGGGTATCAAAATAGGTACCTAAACTGCGCTTCAAAGGTCCATAACTTGGGTAATTGGATCCCGATTTATAAGTGGGATACCTCTATGAGTTTTTGGTTGAATTCTCTAATAATCTGCATTAAAATATACCTTTATACGATGGTCCCAAATTTAGTCCATTTTCATGTTCGATTTTTATGTAATTCCAATGGGTATCCAAATAGGTACCCAAAACTGCGCTTCGAAGGTCCATAGCTTGGGTAATTGGATCCCGATTTATAAGTGGGATACCTCTATGAGTTTGTGGTTGAATTCTCTAATAATCTGCATTAAAATATATCTATAAAACGATGGTCCCAACATTAGTCCATTTTCATGTTCGATTTTTATGTAATTCCAATGGGTGTCAAAATAGGTACCCAAAACTGTGATTTGAAAGTCCATAACTTGGGTAATTGGACCCCGATTTGTAAGTGGGATACCTCTATGAGTTTGTGGTTGAATTCTCTAATAATCTGCCTTAAAATATATCTATAAAACGATGGTCTCAATTTTAGTCCATTTTCGTGTTCGATTTTTCTGTAATTCAAATGGGTATCAAAATAGATACCCAAAACTGTGATTCGAAAGTCCATTACTTGGGTAATTTGACCCCGATTTATAAGTGGGACACCTCTATGAGTTTGTGGTTGAACTCTCTAATAATCTTTATTATATTTTGATCTCAGTGAAAAGGTAAGCAATTTTGTAGTTATCGTGGTAATCTTCCAATTTCATTTTCTCGTCTGACTTTTTCAACCGGTTTGGAAGGATTTCCCGGGGGCTATGCCTGTCACTTCTAAATGGGCGCCCAGAGATTTATGGTGAGAACAGCAAACAAGCGGAGAAAGTGGAAGATAATCGGAGTGCGAGGAGTGGCGTTGCGATGAGTGAAAGACAAAGGAACTGTCCGGACATAAATCATCTCCCGGCGGCAGGCGGCGAATGTCCTGCGGCGCTGGCTGCTGCCACTTGAAGTCAGAACCGGTTCAGTTCTGTTCGGTTTGGTTCGGTTAGGTTCGATTTGATACAGGATCCTATAAGTAGAAAGGACATCACATCGTGGCATTCGTTTTCCAATTCTCATTTCCATTTCATGCCCATTGTCCTGGCCGGCGTTGCAAATTTGTCAGCGAACGAGGAACAGGACAAATGTCAACGCGATAAGCGTGCAGTCACTTTTATCTGAAGGATATGCGCAGGATGAATCACTCGCACGTCTCTGCCCGGAATATTTCACTACCAAATTGGCTGGCTATCTAGCCTCACGCCCTAAACAAAATATGGAAAAAACTTTATAGTCATTTGATCCGAATTGAAAATACCCTATATTAACTACATAATCTACTTTTGTAGAATTACTAATGAAAATCAGATCGAAATTTCAATCTTATATTAAGGCCGAAATTCGAAAATAATTTGAAGTTTGTGCTGAGAGACAATATGCCCCGAAATGCGAGCTATGTTTTTAGATGTATATGTATAAAAAGGAGCATCCTGTTTTTGATTTTGCCAAGTGGATATTGTATTTTTATAAATTAAATTTGATTTATTTTCTGTATATAGCTAAACATAAGCTTTCTGTAATCCACAATTCGACCCTCTTTGAATATACACCATATTTAAAGGGTGCTCATCGCTGATAAAAAATAACATTCGCAAAAAATGCAATAAAAATCATTGGCAAATTGGTCGAGAGGCATGAACAAAAGTTTGCCTCCGTTAGCCAAGATTGATAGTGGGTCCAACTGTCATGGATGGACCATTTATATGCTGGACACACCACCCGAAGGACTCCGCCCCTTTTTTGGTCAATCGAACGAATCGCGCTTAAATATTTGCGGCGCTTATCAAAAAATTTGCGGGCCATTGTCGGAAACGGATTGATGCAATTTTAAATCCGCACCGAACAAGGACATCTGCTCAAATATTAGCTTATGAAATTGTTTAAAATGCCAGGCACTAACCCATTCACTCTGGTCACGCTCCGAAAACGGAAAATCTGGTTGCGGGCGGAGGGCAGGAAAGGGAAACCCGAGCTCAGCCTTTTGACAGTTGCCACAATTTATCATAATTCAATGCATGGCATGTCCTGTCAATCACTCGAATCGACATGGACATGGACGTGGACATCGAAGGGGTGAGCCGGGCACACATTAGCCCAAGGGCGAGGGGGTGGATAAGGCCGATATGGTTGTGGACATTTTTACAAGTGACTTATGAATTATTCTTCGTACTTTCCCCTGTCCATCTGCGAATCCCACACAGGAAATAAAACATAGAGGTATGAGTTCTAGGATATTATGATCCGATTTATATTTTTAACGTTTGTTCTAACGTTTATCTTCATAAGGTATGTAATAATGTTGGAAATAACAAAGAGACGGTTTCTATTCAATACAAAAAAACAAATATTCATCTCAATTTTAATAAGATATTAAAATAAATATAAAGCTTAAGAGATAAAGATATATATAAAGAATCAAACTTTCGATAGTACATAGAAGTCTATTATAATCATACTTAATCATTTGATGGCATTTTTTTCTCAGTGCACTCTTCGTCTCGCCTAACCCCCTTCTTATGGTTGGCTTTTTGTGTTTTCCAATCAGATTAGCCTGGGAAAGGGGTTAGTGGTACGGGACTATCCTCGGTGGGAGGTGACTACATGAAAGGGTCAATAATGGGACTCGAGACGAAGATGCGACGTTTATCAAACGGAATATGCGATGCGAACGAACCATTAGGCACTGGCCACTGATGGACAGGCGAGACGTGATCCCAGATACGGCTCATCAAGTGCATTGTCATGGGACAATAAAGGGTTAATCGGCTAACAGAGGGAATGCCATGTTATCCTCTTACCAAGCGGATTTTATAGGGAGAGCAAAAATTAGCAAAAGTATATCTGAGCATTAAGTGTATCCATTGAATGCGTATCAAATGATATGCACTTTACTGAATTCTCTAGGGACCTTTGTAATCAGTTAAGATTTACTTTAACTACAAATACATATAGCGAAGGTGATTATATACTTACTGATTATATACTTACTGATTATATACTTACTTCCAAATGGAATATAAGTGTGCCATTTGAAATAAATTCTCTTTAGAACCATGTAAGTCACATACGATACCCGTCGCAAAAAACCCCCAATAAAATGATATCACTGCTGTGATCCACCTGAAAAACAAAACCCAATAAATTACGAACATCATATTTATTTAGTTACATATATATTGTTTATTTATTTAAGAACTTGCTCGTCTAATTGACAGAAAAATATAAAGATATAGGATGTGCTGAATGGGTTGTGCTTGAGTGTCTTCCTATGCGATTGATCGCTTCCACTTAAACCTAGGCGAAATCTCGGCGATTGCATAATGCTGAGCCCCCTCCCGAGGTGTACGGAAAATCACAACTCAAAGAACTTAAAAACTTAAGACATGCGCTGCTTTTTGATTTTCGATAAGAAAGAACAGACGTGGAATTTTGCTGTGCTGGCTTGAGGATCGCAGTCGAACGGATAATTTATTGGCCAGTCTTGGTTGACTTGGTTGATTGGATGATTTAATAGTGGACCCTCGGGGAAGGCTCTCTCGGCTAACAGATAACAACAGAACACTTTATGAAGTCGACTGGCTGATAATTTTGATGCGTGACTGGGCTGCTCCACTCGCTATCTCCGCCCACTTTACAGGGTCTTGTCGAACAGGAACTCGCCCAGTTCGCCGTTGGTGTCCATCATCTTCTTGAGGGTGGTCAGCTTGCCGGCGAGCTCGCGCTGTCCGTGGAGCTGCTCCTCCAGGTAGACACCGGTCAGATAGTCCACCAGATGGTAATGGTTGTAGGGCTTGCTCTCGCAGGTCTGGATCAGCTTGCGGATGGAGCGGGTGACCTTGATCTCCAGGTCGAGGGCATCGGACAAGGCGCTAGCGCCATCGGTCCACTCCTGCTTGGCAACAGTCTGCGGAGGATTCGCCGGGATTAGTTGGCTATTAAGGGGTTCCTCTAGGGGATTGAGACCTACCGGCACATTGATCAGATCGCTGACTCCCTCGGTCAACTGACCGCGCATCGAGAGGTACTCCACCAGCTTGGAGCCGTGCTCACGCTCCTCCTTGGCGGCTTTGAAGAAGTGCTCGGCGAATCCGGGGCGGTTGACGGTGTCTCGGGAGAAATAGGCGCCCATGGCCAAGTACTGGTAGGAGGCGTTGATCTCCTCCTGTATCTGGTGGCGCATGCCCTTGATGCAGGCATCCTTCATGTCCACCCAATCCTTGGTGATCTCGGGAACAGCCAGGGAGCCTGCAATGGTATTGGGTTGTGTTTAGTATGGGGTTAAATCATAATCATAAAGGCTTAAGTCGAATTTATCCATCTATAGGTTCTTTGGGACCCATTTTTAAAGTTTTCTATTAAAATTAGAAATTTAATTTAACAAATAATTACAAATAATATAAAAATAATATTATAAAAAACATTTAACACTAAGTTCGACAAGCCTGACTTGGGTTTGTTCCTTAGTTATAGAAACCTTTGCACCCCTGATCTTGACCTTCGCCATGGTTTGGGTTTTGTTTTTCATTTGCTTGTTGCTTTTGCCTTTCTCGCTCTTTCTGCAGCTCTCTCGCGAAACTCTTACTTTCTTGCTTGGCTGACGGGGGAGGGGGTGGTGGGTTATTGCATTTAAGAGGGCGGTATTGCATAAACCTTTGAAATTGCGCTTGGAATGCCGTTATTCTAGGGCAACAAGAATCGTGTGCAAAACTGCAATGGCTCCCCTCACTCTCTCTTTTTTTGTAACTGCATTGGTAACGTGCGCATTTCTCTCCGCCATAGTAACGGTTTTTGTTTTGGTTTGGTGCCGTGTGCAAAAAGCATGCTTTTCATGGTAGCTCCATCTCGCTCACACAGCCCAAGCCGTGTGCAAAGAGAGCTTGGAATTGGAATGAACTTGGGAACTTAAGACTGATTTAGCTGTTTTATTCATGGAAATGAAAGTGAAATTGGCATATTTAAAATATGCAGATTAATTTAAAAAACTGGTTTAACATTTCCCCAAAACCGCAACGGAAGTATCAATATTTTTAAAATCAACTGGTTTGTTAACTTTACTTTTCTCCAGTGCTCCAAGAAAAAAAAGAGTGAGAGAGCGCCGAAGAGAGTGCGCGCATGCTCTTAATGTTTTTTCCGCTCTCTGCTTATTGCGTCGAAATTTAGTGTTTTTCCTTTGTTTTGTTTGAAATTTCTAGTAAAAATTACTCAATAATCGTACTTACACTTGAAATCTCCATAGGCCTGGGCCACCACGGCCAAAAGGAGCAGGCTAGCGATTAATTTCACCATCTTTGATCGTCGTTGAAGTCTTTGTAACACAAAATCACAGAACCAAAATTTGTTTGTCACTTAGTTTGTTTTGCTTGAGATGCACAAATGAGAATGAGGCGACTCGACTTGGGCTAGAATGTTAAATAGCTCTTATTTAGCTAGCTGCCTTTACACACACTGGCGCAGAAGGCGACGCCTGCTTCAATTTGATGGGCTTTGATTGGGGATTACTTCTGATTTCCAGTACCTTCTGCCTTGACAGCGTAATCTGATTTTTCAGTGGAGCTAATGCCTGTGCTTTGTGTTTTTAGCGAACTCGAAAGCGAACTGTGTCTCCAAACGGCGCACAAAACACTTTTAAACCGAACTCGCTCTCGTGTTCTCCTATGTGTGCGTGAGAGTGGGAGAGTGTGCACTCTTATCTGCTCGTTTCCAACATGTCGCCTTTTCTTTGTCAACCGTTTAAATGGCCGATAATTGAATATTCCCGATGATAGACGCACTTAATTTCATACACACGTCCTCAATGTGGCTATACTTTGTACGGAAAGTCGGGTTTCCTACTCAGATAATCCGAGTACACAGAAAATCACACTAATCGTCAAATATGGCCGCTCTTTTGCTCAGTGTGTCAGCTGTTCTTTGTTTTTGTTTTGGCCCTGGGAGAAAGACACGTCATGGGTTGCCAGGCGGTTTAATTTTCGCCCGACAATTTAATTCTTATTTTGTCAAGTTGATTTGTCACGTTCGACGAGGGGATCAATCAGTAACTCTGATAGCTACTAAATATGGCGACGGCTTTTTAGGTGCCGTTTGCAGAGCTTCCAGAGTGACACTTGATAAGGGGGATAAATGCTGGGAAAACCATAAATTATGTAGTTACATCATGATTTCTGTGATGGGGGAACTAAGTAAACTTGTTTCGACAAATTTTTTAAAAGTAGCACAAATGTGGGAATATGAATGTAACAAAACCTTGTTTAAAATACATGCAACCCTATGATTTCACAACGAAAACGTACAAATGTAAATATTTTTGGTAATCAAATCTGATGAAGTATGCTTGGTATTGTAATCGAGCCAAACATAATAAATTCTATCTAAGAATATTTACAGCATAAATTTATTTATTAACTTTTTTTTAAAATTATTTTGTAGCTACCTAACTACATAAATATATATTAAGCAGATTTGATTTTTTTCTGATTTGATTATAGCCTATTATTTGTAAAACATGAAATCTCCATTCGCTTGCTGATAAAACTCTCGAGAAACCACTTGAAATCCAAAGTGCAGTGGCCATTTTTTGCACACGTTGACAACCCTGCCGTGAGTCACCTTCCAGGGGGCAACAACAGCAAGGCAGCTGAGCGGCCATGTTTGAATGACAGCGAAATCCCCGCACTGAGCGCAAAACACAAATGCCCATGCACTCTCTCCAGAGGCACACACACACACACGGCTTATCGATCGCATACAAAGAGACGAGCGCGACGCTATAAACAGCAGTTGATTTTCAAAGTTTCAGCAAGCAGCACACGAAAGCAGCGTTCAAAAAGTTAATAAATCGCACTGCAAGTGAGTTTATTCAATTACTAACTTTAAAGTGGGTGTTTAGTGGCCAGAAACTGCAAAGAAGTTCCTGGAAAACAAAATGTAAACCACAAAAACACGGAAAAAACAAATTCCTTCGGTGGTGGTTTGGTTTTGTTGTGAAAAAACGAAAACAAAGAGCAGAGAAAATTCAAGAACACTCTACGACGCAAAAGGGCCATTTCCGCAGCAAACGAAAAGAAAAGTGGCTGTTTTCCAATTGTCAACTATTGTGAAACTAATTTCCTTTGTTTTCGCATTCCAATTTCGATTTTAATTTACAGTAAACAGCCGTCAAGATGAAATTCTTCATTGCACTCGCTCTCTTCGCGTGCCTCGGCTCTCTTGCCCTGGCCAGCAACGAAGAGTACTGCCAGAATACCGTAATCACGGCCTGCTCTTCCTCGGCCTTCTCCGGTGAGTAAAAGAGAGCGCTTCTGGCGCGAAGAGAACCTAATCTGTGTCCCCTGTGTTGTTTTTTTTGTATCTTTGTGAAAATAATAATAATAATAAATAATAAAAACAAGCACTCACGGGCTTTTTCACAGGCAAAAGTAAGTGAAAAGTAGAATGGATATTTAAAAAAAAAATTTTGAAAAATATCTGCACTTATCCAATTTGAGTTTGAAGAATTTTAAAACTATTAGTCTAATAATCCAAAAATAAAATATTTTATTATTTTAGCAAATTTCAGTTTAAATATTTGAAATAAAAATTAAAAATTTGAAAACAAGTGTAGAATCATCCTATCTGATACTTTTACTTTTTTCTATGTTATAACATTCACTTTACTCCCTTCCGATTAGGAACCATTAAAATCACTTCGAAAACGACCTCTAAATTTTATTTTCCCCCTACCATTTCCATAGATTATAATGTTTATTATTTGCTTACCCCTTCCCCTAGGCAACTCCATTTGTAACGCCCGCTTCGCCGGCATTGACCATGTGGAGCCCGAGGTCCAGTCCTACATCAACGCCCAGCTGGCCAAGTCCTACGACTACCTGCTGCTGGCCACCCACTTCAATTCGTACCAGAAGAACCGCCCCGGCTTCCAGAAGCTGTACCAGGGCCTCTCGGACCGCTCCTTCGATGACAGCATTGCCCTGATCAAGCAGGTGACCCGCCGCGGAGGCATCGTGGACTTCAACACCCGTCACGAGTCCGCCGGCTCGGTGAGCACCAAGCGCGGCACCCTGGAGGTCGATGAACTGCACTCCCTGGCCCTGGCTCTGGATACCGAGAAGCAGCTGGCCACCGGAGCCACCCACGTCCACTCCCGTGCCACCCACGCCGCTGACGGAGACCGCGACCCCGAGCTGGCCCACTACCTCGAGGAGAACTTCCTGGGCAAGCAGGCCGAGAGCGTGCGCAAGCTGTCCGGCTATGCCAACGACCTCGCCAAGCTGATGAAGGTGCCGGACCCATCCCTGTCCGTCTACCTGTTCGACGAGTACCTGCAGAAGCAGTAAGGAGCGGTCTCCACCTTCTCCGCCTCCCAAAACACACTTTTCCCTCAAAATTGCTCTCATAATTCCCTTATAAATTAATTTGTTTCCTTGGTTTGTTCATCAATAAATCGCAGTGCAGCAGCAGCATTATCAAAGCCGCCAAATTGAATGATTTACACACCCTACTGTAGTTCACCTTGATTTACCAGCACACCAGATTGTGATGTTATCATAAATAAGTTAGCAACTTCGCCCCAGCAAATGTATCTTTAGCTTGTACGTTACCGCTTGAACAAATAAAAACAACAATGTTACTGAATATCAACTAGTAGAACAGCAGATTGTTTTTGCCTCTCTGATAAGGTTTGGGTTCTCAAAGTGGATCTGGTCCTCAATGTGGGGCGTCTGTTTGCGTTTTTCTTTTCCGAGTGCTGATAGCGCCGCTGGCTAGCTGGCAACGTACTTTGGATACCACATGGAACAATGGAACTAACAATCGCGGAATTCCCCAAACACTACTCAGCTGTGCGATTACAAAATGGTGTAATGTTCCAGAATGTTGTGTTTTTTTTATATTTTAGTGAGGGGTGATCGGAATCGTTCTTATAGAGATGTTTCTAAAAATAAATTGGAATTTATTCTATTGTAATTGTATACAAACAAAACTATAGTTTTTCAAGTTAAGGTTTCAATTATACTATGTATTTAATTTCCCCTAATAAACAAGGTATACAAATTATCTGGATCACAATACATTTAAGTAATTGGGGTTACCTTAGATCATTAGGCTCCACATTTACTACTTGTTATCATTAGACAAAATAAATCGACGGTGAGGACCGAGAAATCATTCAGATTTCCCGAGGGATATCTTAGGCTTAAAGGAGCGCCACTATCTTATCAGCGACACACTCCTCCTCCTCCTGATAAGGAGAGGCCACGTTGTTCGAGAGATTCTCCCTTTCCAGCTTATCAGTATCTGGCCATGGTGCACACGGCTTTGCTGTTCCGTCCGGAGAAGTTCCGCCGGAATGGGAATTCGCGCGCCATCTTGACCGTCTGCTGACTAAGTTGGAACCTCCGTGATGACGTGGATGTCACAATATTACGAAAGGCGATGTAATCTCGAATTTACACTGTCCCCTGAATTCGCATCGCAGTTTCCTTATCGTCTTCTTCCCGCTCCTCACTTCCCTGACCTACTATAATTCTGTAAATAACAGAAAAAAGTAGTTTGTAAACTTAATGATTAGGAATTTATGTTTTTGGAAAATCACTGAAGTCAATAAATTAATATACGGTTGACCCTCTCAAACCATCTGTTTATATTATCGAGTCCACATTTTAATACCTTCTTACCTATCTAAAATATAATATATTTTGTGAGGTGCTTAAAGTTCCCAACTTGTTTTTTATTATTTTATTGTCACAAATTGTGAATTTAAAAATTGAATTATTTTAGAACTAAGAAAAATAATATCATCCTCACACTTTGATAATAAAGCATATACTATTATGTTAAGTCATAGAAATGGTGAAGTTTATCAAATGTTTTCGTGTGAAATAATGTTTAAAGAAGAACATCTTTAAAACCTTTTGAGATTTTTTCCTAAGCACTTCCTGGAGCATTTGAGTACCTATTATACGAGTATGTCTATGGATCCCGACCACGCATCAGGGCAATTTATCAATTAGCGACGCCCATTCAATGAGGACTGTGCGCATATCGCCGAACATCCGGATACGGTCCACTAGCACGTGAAATGAACGTCAATTTGCCATTTTAATGGTGCTATAACTACTATGTATAGTAGGTTGGGCGGTCAGGGGTCAGAGGTCATCAAATCGCAGCATCCGTATCTGTGGCATTGGGCGAATCCGTGTAATAACTGCGTGCTCTCTTGTAATTAGAATATGGCAATCATAAGGGTAAACTTCATTCGGGATCATAACAGTTAGGACGGAATGAGATTGGAGTTGATGTGGTTATGATGGTGGTGGGGTGCTCCAACATGGTTCTTCAGCGACTCCGAGTGCGTGCAGTGGTCATTAAATAATAATCCACTTAATATTAATTGCCCGGATTTGCGGATGGATGCTGCCTCAATGATTTTCGTTATGCCCTCAGAATACACAAAGAGAAAATGAGGATTGAAACCAAAATTATATTTTCTTTTGTATGATACTCCTTGAAAAATATAATGTAGGGTCTTAAAATAAATCTTAAATAATTTTAACAATTGAAATTGATAAAATCCTTAATTTATTAGAACAAGATTTTGTATTTCCATAAACACATATTACACATAATATTAAATTTTTTC